TCGAGAGTTGAAGGCAGTCTCGATAGTTGAGAAAAATCCATATAAAAACATTGTATATTCTTCTTACTTAACTTTTCGTCTACACTTGTAAGGCCTTGCAACTACTTCATTTCAAAAAAATGTTGAGTTTTTGATTGACTCTATTGAAGCCCCTTTCAAGTGTCTCTCTTTTCTCCATAACATGGCTTTTAGAGCCTTGCATGTGGCACCACATCTCAATTTCAAATTCAATTGCTTTAGGTGTGCCACTCAACCATAGGTTTAGAAAACCATGGTTCTATTTTTACCTTGGTTTTCCTAGTTTGTTGTCTAAGTTACTTCACACTTGATGGAAACTTGCTTTGGAACCAGGTTGATGTTGATTCCTCTTCAAGTTTCTCCCTAGACCTTTGGCTCCTTCATTCTTCTCAAGCTTTTCTAAAGCTTCCAATGGAGCAGAAGCTTCAGGTTTCACCAAGGCTTCCATTTAACCTTGTATTAAGAGTCATTCGTTTTTGTATTTAGGGTATGTTCCTTGGAGCCCAATATTTTAATTTTTGCATATTGGGCTTGTTTTGCTTCATATTTTCCAAGAAATTGATTTAGCTAGGCCTCACCATCATTTAGTGAACCTAACTAAACCAATTCCAGCTTTTTGGATTGGATTTAATATAGAATAAAACACCTTGTCACCTAACCTTGTTCCTTTGCCGGATTCACTAGCTTTCCTTGCACACTTGGGAAACTTGTGCTACAAGCTTCTAACTTAGCTTGCTTTCCAAGCTTCTAAGTTAGAAGCTTGCTCTACAAACCTCCCAAATCATGATGGACGATCAAGTTAAGCTAATTATGATTCTTTTAAACCATAGTTAGTCTAGCTTGCTTCACAAGGTTCCTTACTCTATATAAAGCTTTCTCCTACCTTTGTACTAACTTTTGACATTTTATGAGATTGAATTTTCAGAAACTTCTCTCTCTCTCAAGAGTCCTAATTCGTGGAGAAAATTATTTCCTTAAGAACCTTCACAAAGGAATTCTTCCTTTGTACCTGGGTTCTCTCATTCTTCTTTTCCTTCAAGAAGAAAACCGCACCATTAAAGGTGCTTCCTCAAGCTTTTGGAGCTTGATTTTCATTGCTTCCGTGAAGATCATCCTATCTCAAGGGAAGATTGGACGTTGAGATAGAGCTTGGAAGAGTTCAACAACCACTCCTACAAGTCTTGTCCATCAATTATCTACCTTTATTTTGCACACGAAGGAAGAAGCATCGAGAAGTAGCTGGAGAGGGCGCCCAGGGGGAACAATTGCGGATCATGGTGTTGTGCATGAAGGTTTTGCGGTGGCGGAAGATGGAGCGGGCGTTGGGCATGGGCAGGGGAAAAACGACGGGTCGTTGGAGAGAAGCGGGGCGAGGGCGTACGGCGTGTCGTTGATGCGGCGTGGAGTTGGCCCAGTCGTGTTAGAAAAAAAGTTTTTCAAATTTTGTCTCAATTAATCCATGAATTAAATGGATTTGAAATGAAATTAGTGGAATTCATCCGTTTAATTTTCTATAATTAAAAAACAATAAAATCTTTTATGTTTATATTTTATATAATTGTTATTTATAATTTTGACTGATATTGGGTTTGGATGGGATTGTTTTATGAATCTGGTATTTATAGATAACACTAGAGGCGCCGGAGCTGAAAGGCTTGGACGCCTAATCAATGGTTTATTATCAGCAGAGAAATTTCAGGCAAATCAGTGTTCTTGACCTGAGTTTGGAATGCCTGTTATGCTCATTGCTGCTTTTCCGTCGTCCAACAGCTGAGAGGCAAACAATTCGTTTCATCAGTTGATGCCTGACATTGCTATGAGATCAGACACGAAATGGATACCTTTGAATTGATGTTCTGCACGAAAATCGTAACAGGACCACACCATTTATTAAACTATATATACTGGATGAATGCAACTGTTGTACTCGTTATGAGATTTATAGCAAATATGATATTCAATTATGCAATAACACATTGGCAAGATGGTTGTTAGGCTACCACTGAAATAAGCCTGTGTAAAATGTTCTCCAAATTCTTTATGCAATGAATTACAGTAAAAATAATAAGTGTTAATTATTTTAATGTTATTGTTGACATATTAATTATTGTTATTTTTATTAATATTCTTTTATTATTTGTTGAGAGACTAATTCCCTTTATATCATATAAAGAAAGTAAGTGTTAAGAAAGAGAATTATTAATTTTTTAAAATTTTCTTTCATATTCTATTCCATTGTGTTGTATATTATTCATAAAATTCTAACATGTTTGACCTCATGTACAAATTGAACATGTTGTGTGAACCTTGGAAAGCAAACCAGTTATTGAATTGTACTAGAGATTCACCGAAATTTTGATTTAAAGGAAAGTGATTCTTGCTACGACAGAATATTCGGTTTAATCCTTTTCTAACAATGAGATGTTAGCTTAGCTGCAATATTTCTCATGTATTATTTCCTTTTTTTTTTTGTTCTATTTTACCTCGAGGAGAATCTACCCACATAAATTCAGCAATAAAGGAACCACAATTTATATTTGATTTTCTTTTTCATGTCCATAGGTTCTTGTAAACAACTATAATTATGTTATAGAATGCAAGAAAACAATTCAATAGAAAACAATAACTTATACCCATCAAAGGGGTTCTAAAAACCCCATCTAGAGAATGGAATCCAACAATTTGCATATTTTTTGTGCTTGTGGATGAGAATGATCACCTACCAAAAAACTCTTCAACTTTATTATTGATGGACCATGGGCCAAGAGCCCAATCACCATAGCTATGGCCAGGAACATATAAGAAGGATTGACTAGCTTGGAGGATAGTGGGCTCTCTAAGCCCAAGCTACTCTTCATGTGGGTCATCATATCTTGAAGAGATGATCTAGTTCATTTGTACATAGTAGTTATTGTATATGTTTATTTTTGTCTTTGTATTTTTGAGACACTTTATTTCTTTCTTTATAGGATATTCTATTGAAAATTTAGGGTATGTTCCTTGGAAACTTTTATTCCATTTAACCTTGTATTAAGAGTCATTCGTTTTTGTATTTAGGGTATGTTCCTTGGAGCCCAATATTTTAATTTTTGCATATTGGGCTTGTTTTGCTTCATATTTTCCAAGAAATTGATTTAGCTAGGCCTCACCATCATTTAGTGAACCTAACTAAACCAATTCCAGCTTTTTGGATTGGATTTAATATAGAATAAAACACCTTGTCACCTAACCTTGTTCCGTTATCTATGGAAATTTCCGTAGATAACTAAATATTATCTATGGAAAGAATTCCGTAGGTAATATTCCGTAGATAACTAAAAATTATCTACGGAAAAAATTTCGTAGATAATATTTCGTAGATAACTAAACATTATTTACGGAAAAAATTCCGTAGATAATATTCCGTAGATAATAATCATTTTTCTTGTAGTGAATTGGATAAATATCAAAGAGGTTGGAGACTTTTAGTAGAGAGAATTTCTTAACAATTTCGGAATTCACTCAATATATGATCAAAAAGTGATTACAAAGGTAAGAAAAATGTTTATATAGAGTAGGGAAACTTGTGGAAAAAGCTAGGCTAACTATGATTCAAGAGAACCATGGTTAGCTTAACTTGACCGGCCTAGCTGGTTTAGGAGACTTGTGGAGCAAGCTTCTAACTTAGAAGCTTTGGAAGTAAGCTAAGATAGAAGCTTGTAGCACAAGCTTCCCAAGTATGCAAAGTAAGCCAAGTAATTTGGCCAAGGGAACTAGGCTAGGCGGCCAAGGCTTGAATTCCATATTTAATCAATCCAAAACACTTGGAGTTGGTTTGTAAGACCAAGCTAAATCAATCCTTGGAAAATATGGAGCAAAACAAGCCCAATATGTAAAATTTGGCCTAGGCCCAACTCTGACCTAATTACTAGTTGCACGTACATATCTTGCTATTTGTCACCCCACTTCTACTACTGAAAATATGAAAATGAATGACCCGTAATACAAGGTCAAATGGAGCAAAAGTCTCTAAGTAACATACCCTAAAATCCTAAAGGATAACCTATAATAAAATAAAGAAAGTGTCTCACAAATACAAAGAAAAAATACACCTATACAAGCAACTACTATGTACAAGTATCATACAATGTATATACAATGGAGACTAACAGACTAATAAGAGGAATCATACTCAACGCTCATGAAGAGCAAAGGTCTAAAAAGAACCTCCTCTGTAGAAGCCTTCTTCAACCTCCTAACCATAGACCAGTTAAAGACCCAATGGTCTTCAAGTGTGAGCTTCCTTAGATCAACTTTAACCCTTCTTGGTCTTACCTCTTCTAAAGGGATCCTTGGGGATTAGATTTTCATCAACACTATATATTGTTACCTTTTGTACATTCATGACACTTTACTTTTACTTTTTTTTTTTTTTAAATCAATCCTCAAATTTCAACTTATTAAAGTAAAGTTAAAAAATTTAAATTTCTACAAAAATAGATTAAACATTTATTCACACATCCATTTTGCATCTATATTTATTTAAGCATGAAAAGAAATATGATTAAATATATTTTTAGTCCCAATATAATATATTTATTTTATGTTTTTTTTTGCCTAGTACATTTCTTTTTGTTTGTTTTGGTCTTTATTAAAATCTTGTTTTACGATTAGTCTTTGATGGTATATTTTTATAAGTTGCCATAAAATTTTAAACTTTTTCTAAGATCCCTATAATATATTGTCTTATGATTTTAGTTCTTGAATTTCTCTAATAGATGATTGCTAATAGTGTTAGATACTGAAATTATATATATAAAAAAAAAATTAATAGGGACTAAATCAACATTTTTCTTCACATACATTATAATCATAAAATGTATACATTACGTCGACTTAAAACATAATTAAGTCAAATTATATGCAAAATAAATATCTTTTTAACTAAATTAGGTATTTATTTTTATTAAATATATGTATAAAAAAATAACTTTGTTTATTAGTTTGCCACGGACATAGAAACTTTCAGGACCGAACCTCCTTTAAAATTTGTATATAAAGTAAAAAAGATAAAATCTGAGATTCTTTTACATCGTATATGATCCTTTCTTACACTCTTCCTCCTTAAGAAAGCTAAACTTGTGTAAGTCATGTATCAAGAATGGCATCCCTATTCCTTTATTGTTAAAACCAGCAGTCCCAATGCCCCAATTACTATATACTGCAAAAGAAAAAAAAATTTGATGAATTAATATTAAAATGCTAATGTTATTTCACTATTAAATTATAGCCCAAGTGCCCAACTGAACAAACCTTGACAATAGGCTTTTCAGTCATTATTATTGTAGCCCAACCTACATAAGGCAAGATCCTGCAGAAAAGACAAAAGCAAGGAGGTTATATGCATAACAGATGAAATTATGTGGACTTCCAGATAACTTAGTTTGCTCATAAAAGTAATTCTTGTTGATCTGCCAAGAGATAAAGTAATAGGGGAAATTATAATCAATTTGAATAAAATTCTCGGTACTTTTAAGAAAAAAAAATAAAAAATAAAAACATAATAAACTTTTTTATAAGTTAAATATTTATATAAATTAATCTTAATTTATAGAAGAAAAAAAATCATTTCATTTTTTCGTTTTATAAGTATGTATGAAAAGGTTCACACAACTTTAGTCCTACTTTTCTGTATGAAGAAGCGTGCTAAAGAAAAAGGATTTACCCAACAGCTCTTCCCATAATATGGTGTTGCTGCAACCAACGCTGACCACGATTATACATAACCCTGTCATCGACGTCATTATTGTCTCCTGAAATACAAAGCCATATCAAGAAATGAGATTAATTATGTGGATATTTGATGACTAGGAATAATATGAACACATAATTAGTCAGCTATAGCATTGTATACCTTTAGTGAGGATGTATGTTTCTTCAATATCATGACGTTCATGAACCTAAAAAAGCATTTATAGATTGAGTGATATCCATCATAGTCATCAAACAATATTCAAATTTAAAGACAGATATGGCCAATATATAGATCAATATGTTATAAAAATCATGTATATTATGTGCAAAATATAGAAGTACAAATTAGCATGCCTTTGGTTCCAGAACTATTAACCTGATTAAATGTGGTGTTTAGCATTATGTTTATATGTTTTTCTAAATGTATGTTTTTCCTAAATGTATGCATGTATTTACGTACGACAATAATGTCTTTGGAGGGTGGTACATTTTAGTTATTCATACGTGAAAAACTGATTTGTTAAAAGACAAAACTTAGATATAATATCATAAGTGTAGTTTTTGTTTTCTAATTATTAGAGTTTCAGCTTGATAATATACATTTACATTTAGTGTAGACCTCGTTAATATATATATTTATGCACATATTAGTGAGGTGAAACTCTTATTTTAATTAGAGAATAATCTTAACTGTACTTATGATATTGTATCTAAGTTTTGTCTATTACTAAATCTTTCTTTTCCATGTTGTGAGGAATATGTGTGGGAAACATCAGCTCAATCGTTTGAATGAATCATGGGGTAAACTATAATCCAAATAGAGCAAGAGACCTTAGGATTAGGAAGTGTCATGCATAATTCAGAGTTTATATATAGTACACTGACAAATGACAATCTGTTGCTAGTTCTATTTAAGCATAATTATAAATTTAAAATAGGAAATAAAGGTCTAAGCATGGGTAGGGGATTAACCCAAGAGACCAATTTCAATGAATATCCATTGCCACTTGACTTTCTTCATAGACAATCCTTTATGTTTTCTTCATATGTTTCTAATTAATAATTATCTGTAATCCTGCATAATGTTCTTCTTACAGATATTGTGAATATATTACAAATATTGTAGATACATATATTATGGTTATTATCCTCACTATCAATTAGGGATATGATTAGATTATTTTTCATAATATTAGAGATTAGTATCTCTATCATTTATTGTATTCACTCTATAAATAAGATTGGTATGTGTACAACAATACACACAATTCCTGAATCACAACATGGTATCTAGAGCTTAGGTTCTATTCCTTTAGATTTTTCTTCTTATAGAGGCCTTCGACCACCGGCCCCGACCGCCGTCGCCGTCGATCGACCACTGCCGCTACCGACCGATCGCCGCCACCGCCGATCACAGCCGACATCGCCGATCGCTGCCCGTCGATCACCACCCGCCGTCCCAGACCGACCGTTGTTGCCGACCGCCGCTACCGGTTGTCGACTTCGACCGTCGTTTCCGGTCGCCGACTTCGACCACCGCTTTTGATAGCCGCCTCTAGTCGTCGCCTCTGACCGCCGCTTCTGATCAACCACTCCGACCGTCGCTTTTGATTGCTGCCTCTGATCGCCACCTCCAACCGTTGCTTCTAGTCGCCGACTCCGACCGTCGCTTTAGGTGGTCGCCGACTCTAATCGTTGCCTCCGACTTCCGCTTTCGGTCGCCAACTCCGACCATCGCTTTCAATAGTCACCTCCGGTCGCTGCCGCTTTTGGTCGCCCACTCTGACCGCCGCTTTCGATGGCCGCCTCTGGTTGCCGCCTCCGACCGCGCTTTCGGTTGCCACCTCCGATGTTGTACCTGGGTTCTCTCATTCTTCTTTTCCTTCAAGAAGAAAACCGCACCATTAAAGGTGCTTCCTCAAGCTTTTGGAGCTTGATTTTCATTGCTTCCGTGAAGATCATCCTATCTCAAGGGAAGATTGGACGTTGAGATAGAGCTTGGAAGAGTTCAACAACCACTCCTACAAGTCTTGTCCATCAATTATCTACCTTTATTTTGCACACGAAGGAAGAAGCATCGAGAAGTAGCTGGAGAGGGCGCCCAGGGGGAACAATTGCGGATCATGGTGTTGTGCATGAAGGTTTTGCGGTGGCGGAAGATGGAGCGGGCGTTGGGCATGGGCAGGGGAAAAACGACGGGTCGTTGGAGAGAAGCGGGGCGAGGGCGTACGGCGTGTCGTTGATGCGGCGTGGAGTTGGCCCAGTCGTGTTAGAAAAAAAGTTTTTCAAATTTTGTCTCAATTAATCCATGAATTAAATGGATTTGAAATGAAATTAGTGGAATTCATCCGTTTAATTTTCTATAATTAAAAAACAATAAAATCTTTTATGTTTATATTTTATATAATTGTTATTTATAATTTTGACTGATATTTTTTAATTGAATTTAAATTAATGATAGACTTAATTCTTTTTTCTTTTTATAAAAAAATAGTGACTCTTTATTTCATTTATTAAAAATATGAATATGTAATTAATTCATTATCTCACAGATTTGTATTTAGTCGAAAGGAATTAAAATTTTCTTTAGTCATTAAAAAGTGAATCAAATTAGATTAAATAATTTATAGTATCAACATGTAATAAATTGTCTTGACTCACTTTCACACAAACTCCTTAATACCAATAATGGAGGCATTTATAATTAGATATCCTGGTAGATTATAATTGTAGTAACTTCCCTCATAATTTTCTAATATTTAATAAATTTTAATTTAATTAAAAAGCATATTTAACACTCGCCTTATTCAAATATTATTTTATATGTAACAATAAAATACACTATTTTATTTTATATTTCTTAGGGGGGTGTATTGATTTAGGATTTCGTAGGATTTTAAAAGACTTTTTTTGAGTAAAAAAGTCCATTGGTATTCAATCAGGATTTTATGTCACTTAAAAACAATCCAGTGGTATTCAATCTGGATTTTTAGGATTTTTTAAAGAGTCCATTAAAATCCACTGGTATTCATTTGAGATTTTTTACAACTTAAAAACAATCTATTGGTATTCAAAAATTTAAGGATTTTAAAGGATTGTTGTGTGAGAGGGATTTTGAAAGACTTTCTAGTGTTATCTATAAATACCAGATTCATAAAACAATCCCATCCAAACCCATCGGATTTTGAAGGATTGTTTGAAATGATTTTTCAAGTGTTTTAAGAATTTTCAAGTGAGTTTTTCATCTTTTTTTTCTATGCTCCTGTCTTCTCCATTTTTTCTCTACTAATAATACTACACTATTGTTCATTGCTCATATATAATACTATTCTCATACCATTCTCCTATTTTGTGAAACTCTAATATGTAAATGATAGTGTCATTGACTTGTTTTATTTTTCTGTTCGTTCTCTTTAATTGACTTACTTTATTTTATTCTATGTAGTTGAATTTGTTCCTTTATATAACACAAAAAAATACTTGAAATTTTAACTTTTAAGTGGTAATTTTTTTTATGACACACGTTAAGAAAAGAAAAAGGTGAAAGATGAAATTGATATCATAATCTCAACAATATATATATATATATATATATA